TGACATACTTAGCTTGCAGAAAACGCTGCTTTCTATGCCCACTTTCCAGTTCTGGTGCCACCAGGGTCCCAAGGCTGGACTTGTAGCCCCAGCAAGGGGCTTTAGTTCAGAGGCAAGGGGCTGCCAGGAGCACATCCACGGGGCCTGGTCACACTGGATTACCTGCCAAAGGTGCCTTGGCACCTCTGCAAGGCTGGGCTGCATGTGGATGCCTCTAGATCTCCTCAATCCCATCTCACAGTTGTTTATCAGCTGCTGCCTCCCACACTGGGGAGGATGTCTCCAAGAGAGTGAGTAGCCTTCCCTGTGCAGTTTGGGCAGTGGGAGGATGGAGGGTGAGCGGGGGGGTTAGGCCATGCACATGGAGAAAGGAGGGCCTTCAGCTTTGGGATGGGTTAGCTAGGTTCCCCAGCAATATTTGCCCCTGTGACTCTACAAATAAAACACTTCTCCCGACGCTGATGACACTAATAGGTTCATCTGTTTGAGCGTTTGGACTTCCAAGGCTATAGAATGATCTGTTCCACTACATTTAACCATGTAGATTTGAAAACAATGTGACAAAATCTTAAATATTTAATTAAAATACGGTGTAGCTCTGCATCTGAGCAAGGAAGTAGGAGGCATCAGCCCCGTAAATCTGTTGTCAGACATGAATGACAGCAGTTGGAACCTGCATTTGGTGGCATTAGGGGATTTCTTGATACCAAGGAAGTAGAAAAGCTGGCAAGGATGGACAAGGCAGCACCAACCCACGCAGAAGAGCAGGCAAGCAAAGGTATTTTCAAGAGGACAAGGCTGGGGTGTGATGGAGGGAGACAGAGTGAAACCTCCCAAAACAGGGAACTGCCTACAACAGCCTCACCTGGCTGACAAGCTGTTAAGAGTTGTTGGCAAATCCAGCACCACACTATGGCTCCAACCCACAAAAGCCTCACAGCTCTGACATGGCTGCAGCAAACCATTTCCGAGACATGCGAGGCTTGCACGCCGACCTGGGGATGCCTTACGGATCCCCTCCTGCCTAGGGGATGCCAGCAGTCTCAGCACCAGCCTAAGTGAAGCTGGGCAGGCTGGGATGATTTAGGCTTTGTTCGAACCTCAAAGATGAAGCAAGGATGGTTGGAAGTGGAAAACATCATAAAAAAAAAAAATCTGGCTAGGCTTTCCTCCCCATATCAAAGCCAGAGCGATACCAACAGCTCCAAAGATGCCACCAAACATTGTTTTAAATCCATTCCCCTCCTCCTCTTAATGGTTATTTTCCCTCCATCTCAGTGCTTTATACAGCAATAAGCTCTTCTACTAGGACACTCGCAGTACTTGCATCAGCTTTGGCAGAAACAGCTCTCTTCATTGCATCAACTCCCCCAAGGAGCATCTGGGGCACGGGGAGAAATACAATGATAAACAGCAACTCTCCGTTAGACTGTACAACTCTGGCCGGGGCTATTCTGGCTCTGTGCTCCAGGGATCACTGCTACAGGACACGGCTGACTGCAATACAGCAAGGTGGATGCACGGCTCGTGAGAAATCATCGCCGTGGAAAACACCAGAGTATTCAGGGGTGCGTTCTGCAGAACGAGTTGGAAGAGCTGACAACTAGACCCTAAGTCCTGTGTCTTTTTGCAGAGTTGTATACAGTTTGTGGACACAGAGCTGCTGATTATTTGCCCAGCAGTACAGTTTTACAATGACCACGTACACCTTTTTATTGTATCATATCCCTGAGTAACAGCCACGGCAGTATCACCTCCCTCCATAAATGCAGCAAGAACCTATGTAAATAAAGAGAAATCACTGCCGCGGGAGGGGTTTATGAGTCTCATTACATCTTCATATGGAGCTGGACTGGGTATCACCACCAGCAACACGGATGGTTGATTGCTTTGCCAGCACAGATGCCTTGATTGGCAGTGCCGGATCCACAGAGAACACATTTGGCTTTGCTGCAGGGTTTGTCCCCCCTGAGTGAGGCTGTGCACCCACGCCCTGCTGATTTTATGCCACTGTGTTACTGGCTCAGCCCTTGGCACCTCTGAACCATGAAGCCTCTCGGAATAAGCTCAGAAGCAAGACACACGGTAACAAACTCCTAAAGCAGCACCCTTGCCACAACCTCCAAGCCTTAAAACAACCTCCTCCTCGCCTTAAACCTCCAAGAAACTTTCATCCCAATTCAAGAACGCCTGCGCAGAGCTCACTTGTGGCATGCAGCAAAATGGTTATGACGACGCACCTCTTGGATCAATGGGAAGCATAGCTCCTGTACCCAAGGGGGCTTGGGAAAGGACCAGGGCAAGTGTATGGAGAATGCATCTGGGAATGATAAACACGGTGCCAAACTTGCCTCCTGGTCCTGCACTGCCTCCCCGTTTCTCCATCTGAAATCACAAGTCTTCCACTACTGGAGGTTTGCAACCTCCCTACCCGTCAGGATGCTGGAGGCGAGCTATGTCCTCCAAACACAGGCTGTCTGAGGTCTTGCTCTCGGCCATTACTGAGGGTGCCCAGCTCCCCTCTCCAGAGACGAAGAGAAAGCCAGCCTGGGCTTCTGGGGGTTGTGGGCGGCAGGACGGCTGAGGCGGGCTGGGTTTCAAGCAGAGTGCCTTTACATTTCTTTTTAAGAAAATAATCTCTCCTGGATTTAAAAATTATCCCTGATGGCAATAAAAAACTAATGGGTGCAAGAAACACCCAGCAAGTGACCGCTTCAAATTAGGCAGCTCAGGCAACATATCACATACCTGACTACCCAGTGAGCCGAAATTTGGGGAATCCAGGTTCCCCCAGGGATTGCTGCTTAGCGCACGACTAAAGCAGGCTTGTTGAGCCTGCACGCGCCAGATCCGAACGGGAGAGATGTCTGCACAGCTGGTGGCATTACACTTCTGTAACTACCTAAAATGTTTCTCCATTTTCCTGTACAAATACTCACTTTGCTTCCCTAATGTACAGTACACTGTAACTTTAGCTTGACGCACTGAACGCTGTAACCGACTGTCAGGAGCCAGAGCTAGCTCTGAACACATGGGGTGTTGGAGGCATCTACTCATAACGTGCCATTTCAATTCCCCTTCACCAGGCTGGCGAAAACACAGACCGCCTGTGGCAACATCCACCTTCCCTGCCGGTGCAGAAGGACACGCTGTCCTACCGCAAAGGTTTCAAACTGCGATCCACTGACCGCTAACGACCTTCCAGCCCCTTTCTGGGGGTGTGAATTATCACTCATACCTCCCCAACGAGCCTTAAATTTCCCCAGCACATCTGCGTAAATACATCTGAAGTGAAAAACGCGCTACCAGTGGGTTGCAAAGCTCCATTTTCTTATCGATCGTGTTTAAATTGACTGTGCTGTAACTTTAATTTTCTTAAAAGGAAAACATGCTGCAAATATAAGTTGCTGAACATCTTAGGTAAATGTACCAATTAGCAACTACCATGTATATTCACATAAACATTAACTACCATCTATTCAACACATTCCATAACCCCAAAGATAATAACGATTTCCTTTTGATCCATAAAAACATCTCTCTGCTCAATCAACGCTTTGCAGTAGCTCTGAGCTCTGACGTACGCCTGTGCACCCTGGGACTAAATTAGTTTTGGAATCTTTAGCTCTAATTAAATAACATTATTTCTTTTGTCTCGCTTCAACAACATATTCTGACTTCACAACAGAAGGCGGCAGCCCAGACAAGGGAGGGGAAGGCGACGGAGCTCGCACAGGCTTGTGGTAAGCGAAAAAGCACCACTGACAGCCCTGTTCTGCTTTCCCCTTCATTTGCAGGCTTCTTTCATGTATGGGCACATGTCAGAGCTCTGAGCAACTGCAAAGCGTTGATTGAGCAGAAGGATGGATCAAAAGAAAATTATTCTCATCTTCGGGGTCAGGGAACGAATGGCAGTTGATCTAAGTCTGTGGGTATGGTACTTTGTAGGGTTTCGGAGAGAGAAAAGCAAATTCCGTGGAAATTACAGAGCATAAATTAAAACCCATTTCCTCTGGGATGCACAGACTCCAGTAAGGTATACCCGCCACCAGAGCTCGTTCCGTAATTAACTTCTTCAGCTGCTTAAAACTAATTAGTTCAGATAAGACACATTATCCAACTAAAAGCACAAAAATTCTTGGTTTGGATCTTGTTTCACGAAAATTTCTTTTTCCTGAAAATTGACCAAGAAAAAAAGACAAGAAAAACTCCAAATTTCCATTTGAACAAACTTTAAAAAGTGTAAATACATTCGGTTTTTGGACTGAATAATCAGAATATACCTGGGAGAGATACCGACAAGAAACATTCCCGGTTTTATCAAAACTTTTCAAGAAAAGTACCATTCTAATCAGTTTTTCCAGAGCCACATCCATGCTGGGAGGTTTCACTGGTCCAGCCTGCCTTTCCCAGCGCTCCTGATAAACACTCGCATGTACTTTGCCAGCCTGTCGACACAGCCCTTTACCTTTGCAGTACCTCTCTTCCACCTCCCATCCCCCAAGGGTCTTTATGAGATGCTGGATGAAGTCTCCTGTTTGCAATCCCGTGCAACATTCTCCTCCTGTGTTGCTCATAGGAAAGCTTAATTGCTGAGAAACGCACAACGATACAAGATCTAGTACGAAAACCTGCTTTTTCTCAAGCGGTACGGTACTTCGGGTTCTGCCGCAGAACAGCATCACGGCAAGGCTATAACAGATTGTGCTGATGCTAGTGACACTATTCATATCCTTAAATTTACCTACACACACACTGTTGAACTGGTACCTGCATTTGCTCAGCTGAAGTACCACATACATCCCAGAATTGCTGTACCCCTTAAACAGATTTCTCTGCTATTGCTCTTGGGATCAAGATGCACCCCCATTGCTCCCATGATGGGGTTCTTTTACAGCTGTTTTGATCTAGCAACAAAACATTTTGTCACAAAGCCCCTCACTGCAACCACAAAGACGAGAAAACAAGTCATCTGCAACCGATGGGGAGATGGGACTTACCGAGAACAGTCAGCCGGGCAGGTCTGGATCGGATGGCTGCTTGAATGGCCTGACATTCGTAGACGGCGTCATCTTGGAGATCAGCTCTCAAGATTTTCAGGTGATGCTCTCCAGACAGATGGTCTCCTACAACCAGGTAACGTGGATAACCTGCAGGCACACAACATGAGTTAGAAGGCAGACAGCCAGATGACCCTTAGGATGAACAGTACACCGCATAGGCCCCGATCCCAAGCCTTTCTGCAGGCAAAGGGCCTCTGTCATGACATCCAGGAGCTTGGCAGCTTCCTCCCTGCCTTGTCAACCAGCCCAAAAAGATGGGAGAGGCCTTCCAGATTCAGTGACAGACTGGAGATGTTGCTTCAAGAGTTCAGAAAGGAAGTACTGATGGAAAAAGCAATAGCCGACACCCCTACATAAGGGATGGAATTTGCACAGCCCAGTGTTCGCCTCTATTTTCAGAGGCGGTATTAGAGGCCTTCCATAGGCAACATCCACAGCTGTGGGTGGAGCAAGGCCTCTGCTTGGCTGTGAGATAGACAACCCCCAAGTCAGGTTTTACCTTGCAAAGTCATGCTAAATTCAAAAGGAAACTTGATGTGCAAATAGCAGACTGGCACTGAGCTGCCAAGCTGCAGGGAACTAGTCTCCCACGTCAGACAGCTGTCCCCCACAAGATGCGTCCCACACTCCGAGACAAGCACTTCCGCTAGGAATCCTAGGATCGCCAGCTCCTCTGGGGCCTGTCATGGGATTTCCTTAATTCAAAATATTACAGGGGTTGGGCAGGAGATGCTGTAAGTCCTGACCTGAGTCAGCTTTTGTGCATGTTCTTGCACTGAAACCTTGGAATAATTCCATTATTAAGCCTATGTATTAAGCCTGGGCAAGGCCCCACTAAGGCACTGACAGCCTTGATCAGCCCGATCTTCGTTCTGCAAATCTTCTGAAGCACCACAGAAGGAAGGATGCCATCACCCCATCCTTCCCTGCGCTGATGATTAATGCACTGTGCAACACAGGCATCCTGGCGCACACTTGTGTTTTTGTTGTTTTGCAAGCTATCAACAGCAGGATTTGCTCTCCTGAACCGCAAGAAATACAAATGATGGGTTTGTTTGTATTTAGCTAATTAGATGACTGGCTGAGCTGGTATCATGCGAGCTGGCAGTTTCTCTTGCTAAAGCAGCCCCAGCTCTGCTAATTGTGGAAGTCATTCATATAAGCTACATACTTCAGTGGAGCTGTTGTTACCAGTTTACGCTGCAAGGTCTTGCAGGGAAAGATCAGCTAATATGTGTAGAAGTTACGGCATAGAGCTCTGAAAAAACATTTGAAGAGGGGACTGCTCACTCAGGCAAGTCTGAGAAAAGAGTAATTATATGCATTTAAAAAAAAAGAAAAGCAAAAAGCAGGCATTGTACTTTAAAGAGCAGGGTCCCTAGAGACCAAGAAACATGTTTTGCTTTGTTTTGTTGGGTGTTTTTTTGTTTCAAAAAAATCAACCAAAATCAAAGCAAGGCTTTCCAAAGGCTTGGGTCACCCCTATGGGAAATAAACTGCTTTGTTTTGAGGTAGCGTTAAAGTTTTGCCTGCTGCAAGTTTCAACGTTTTTGTTTCAGTCAGCTAGATAGTTCTCAGTCAACTCAAAATGAAAATGCTTGTCATTTTCAATAAAAATATTTATTTTAGATATTTAAAGACAAAATGGATTCCGTTTTGTCCTACATCAAGCATTTCTTTTTTTTCCAGAGTTAAAAATACAGCATCCTCATAGTGATTGATACACGATTACAACTTAGGAGTTACCAAGTAGCAAAAATGTCATCTACCCAGGCAGCTGCACCGGCACTGTTTAGCTGGGTGAGCTCCCATTTTCCTCTTTTAAGCAGAACTAGTACCAGGACTTACTTGAGAGATCCCGTCCGACTCCGAGGGCGAGCCCATCTTTAATCCACAGCACGATGCCATTATACTCGGGGATGGCACAGAGCAGGGTCACGGGCTGCCCCGCTATCACCACCTGGTCCTGCGGCTGCTGCGTGAAGGAAGAGGCTTGACCTGGAGACGGGAACAAGAGAGAGAAACAAAGTTGTTAGCTGTCAGGCGATGTTTTCTGTGCAATGCAGTGTCTTGGGATGCGACGGTCCAAGATGCTCCTGTGTCAGCCTCATCAAAACCGGAGGCTGAGTTCTGTAGCTCTTACTTACGGGATCCTCTATCGCCCACTCACACTCCCAGACAAAAAATTGCAAGGATTTTCCTCCCTAAGGAAAAAAAATCCATGTCAAAGAAGCGCCAGGCATTTCTTCTGATCATTTTATTCAGGAATGCAGTGCTAGTGTTGTAGCTGATCTAAGCAGCAGCAGCAGCATTTCAGGAAGCAATTGATGTTTTGTATTATGCCTTACATAAGAGGATGTTGGTCCTCTGTTTGAGAGACTTGCTCCCGCTTCTTGGGTAGTCTTGATTCAGGATGCACAACAGAGAACACCGCAACTCAGGAAAGCGGTTGGTTACTGCTGCCCACTTCTCCCAGATTCAAAGCCTAACCTGCTAGTATTTGCTGGAAGCTTCAGGCAAATCTGGGGAGAAAAGGAACTA